CCAAAATATCATAAATATATTAGCAGTTTGTGCTAGTGTTATCCGTCGCTGTCTTCAAAATGTAAGGCTAATGATACATGGGGCAACTTTTTGAGCAATGTTGCCGGGCAACTTTGGTTAATGTTGCCATCAATGGGCAACCAGGTGAGACACAGGGCACACACAACTGATCTAAAGTATCCAGATAGAAATTTGTTACCCATTCTCAGCGAGAAATTGCCCAAAAAGGTGCCCCCTGTATGGTCAGCTTAAGACATGAGGGAGTTCCCACAAATATTTCCATTTACACTGCCCATGATGCTAACATTTGTAATATTATGTATATTTTGAACAAATCAATAAATGCATTTTTCATAAATTCATTAGTCCTGCTAGATTCAAATGAGACAGCTATCATTCAGGACATAATGGCGGACTTGTAAGTAACCATGAAGATTATTTTCAGGGGATTTTCGCTGAGGCAGACATTTAGTTCTTCTTTCAGTCGTCTTGTTTAGTGAAATTCCCATATGTTTTCGTTTTCAAGTTTAGACTGATGGGCGCGCGCTGACATGCACGCGGGTGTCTGGTGCTGTTCGCTGATTGGCTGTCTCGGAATCTACGGCTCAGCCTACTATCATTTACTATTCGCGCGCTCAGTGGATCAGCAGCTCACACTTGCTTGAGATCGTGAGAGAGAAGCACGTCGCACGTACTGCCTGGATATATTTATTATAAGGATCATGCGCTTGAGTGTCACAGTCGGTATCCGTATGACTTAGGAATACGCAGCGTGACTTCTTTTTAGATTCATATGTTTTGAGAATCATTTTTTGAAGCTTGTTATATGTCCGGAGGTTCATCTTGCGCAGCCATTCATCGCCAAACTTCTGCAGGGCTGATCTACAGCGGAGTCTCGGTCCCTTTGGAGGTGAGAAACTCGAGCAATGTATAATGCATTCAATACGCGGCTTGGTTTGCGTGCATTTTGATTTTATTTCACATTACGACCTGTTAAGTCAGTTTACTTGCATATAAACCTGCAAACAAATATTATGTGCTGACGATATTCACCTTCTGTCTTACTGACTTAAGTATATTAACATTAATGAAGAATGTGCCTTGTGGTGTTGCCCTTGGTAACTTATGCTGGTGGTCTTGATAGTAAGTTCTTACAAGTAATATGCAATGTAAAACAAATGTAGAACACAACCAAGCTGTCATGTAATTTGATATTTGCTACCATGGAAATGAACGATTGCTATGTACTATTGGTTATTTGTGGTATTGTTAGTGGAATTAATATTCTATTCTAGACTTTTGGTGTACTAGTTTGGTGGTTAAACTGGTTTCATTTATAATTTGATTTAAATGCATGTTATTTTGTATTACATGGTACTTTGTTGTATAATATTTTACTGAAGGATTGTAATGTTAATTTACTTTGCTGGTTACATGGTAATTCAGACAAGGTTCCCACAGCCGGAGAAAACTGGATATAAGAGGGAATTTTAGAACTGTAATTCCAAGTCTGGATAACCCATTGAGATCTTAAAGTTTCATTGAAATGTCTATGGAAGGCATTTTATAGTTTAGGATGATATAAAATTACAGTAAATTAGCTAAAAATAGTGTGCATGCTGTGTACTAAACTGATGGTTTGCACTGCAGAATGAAGATGCCAGGTTTATGGAGTTTTGAGTGTTTGCTGAGGGTATTCACTGGGGAAATCATTTTTCATTTCTCATATGTATTAGTGCAGTAGTGGTCTTGTGGTGGGTGGGTGTGGAAACTGGAGGGTTGTTGTTGATATTCCCTTCTTGATTTCAGATGATCATTACCCATGTGTTCCTCCCCACTATCAAATAAGTAAGCTATTTTGTGGCTTAAACAGATTGTCCTATCTACTTGATTAATCGGTGTTGTTTATCAACAGTCTTATATTGTACTTTTTTAATCAAAATGAGGGTTGTGTTTGGTCAAGATTGTGGAAAGAAGAGTGTCTGAGACATTTTGATTCTGTTTTGAAAAACTGATCTGCATCAGTTTGCTGTGATTTGGCTGGACTATGCCTCTGTGATACCAGTCATGCAGGTAGCTCAAAGTGCTGTGGGAAGGACACTATGCCCTGCCAATCTGTACGGCCAGCCAAGCCCTTTATTTACTCAGACACACTCGAGTAGTTTCAGTGAAGCAACAGCTCCCATCCCCCACCGTCTTACACACAAACACACACACACACACGGACACACACCTGCTCGTTTCCCAAGGCTAACTTGTAACCCACTTTGACAGAAACCAAAAGACCAAGACTCAATTTGATCCTTGTTGAATTTATTGAAAGCCGACAATGTTGTGTAATACTGGTGTATATTACAGCGCTATGAACAGACATGTTTATTTCCTCATGTCAATTTACATAGAGCTGTGTTATGGTCCACGCACCAGACATTTGTTTGTAGAAATGTGGGTGGGAATCATGTCTTTCTGTCATCACAGCAGTGATCAATCCTTCGTATTTGTTAAAGTCTTGATCTTTGGCTGTTTTTATATTCACTATGAAGCGACCTTTAAAGACAAGACTGCCACAACAACTTAACAGCTCCTAATAATATGCCAATGAGCTCAACACACCCTTTTGTTGAGGATGCAGTTTCAAAACACTCCAGAACGTTTGGGTTTGTTGTTTTAACCTCCACCTTTGCATTAGACCGGGTTCCCACAACCATGGAAAACCTGTAAATATCAAGGAACGTTAAAATTTTGATTTCCATGAAAACTGATCTCAGGAAGTCATCGAAATAATATGGAAAATTAAAATGTATTATTAAATTGAAATTTTTCCATTTATTTAATAAGTATTCTATAAGTTGAAATATAACTTCGAACTCGATTTAAATTATATATAAAAATTCTATTTCAATGTATTTTCAGTTTACTTAGGATATTGACATTTACAAGACATTTCCATTGCTATGTATGTAGTATTTGTAGAATCATTTATTTTTTATTTATTTTATCGACTTGTGAGTGCAATTTCAATATACAGTGAATTTTAAAAATCCTTGTCCAGTAGGGATAAATGAGTGTAAAACCATGGAAATGTATTAGTCAAAAGGTGTGGGAACCCCAAAGATCAGAGCGATTATTTAAATGTTGCTTTATGCTTGAGGAGGCCCGTTTTGATCTAGAGACTCAGTAATCAACAATAGTCAACATGTGGGTGGGACTGAATGTTTTCAGCTTTCAGACAGTCATAACTATCTAAAATGCAGCCATGCAAGGATGCCAAATAAAAGCTCTGACAAAAAACATTTCAGTAATTGTGTGAAAGCAAGGGCTTTTTTGTTTGCTTATATACTACACAGCCCCTGTGGTGAAGGCTGTGCTTCGTGTTTGTTTAAGCAGGACAGAGGAGAGGACATGTGGCTGGTGGCCATACTTGACACCTGCAACCAAAAAGTAAACCCATCCAGAATCCCTGCTACTAATCAGCTTCAGCTTTGTTTTATTCGCTCACAGAATTCAGTCGAGCAGCAGCTGGTGCGCCTAGAGAGTTTAAAAGGGCTTTGACTTTTAACAGATTTGCATTGTGGCCTGGGGGCTTCACTAATAGGGTTGCATGGGCCGATGCGCAGGGGTGTCCTGCTTTTGGGCCATATAATAAGACAAAAGTAGAGTTTATTCAATGCTGCTTTGTCAAAAACAAAAAAGGGTTTATTTTTATGAAAGTTCTGGCAAATTCTGTTACAGAATATGAGTCAGAGAATAAAACCGTACGCGGTTCCCAGAGGCATCATTCATAAAGGACTTGACAAATTGTCAATTTCTGGTGATGAGCGCAAAGTCATTCTTGACATAATTTGGCCTTCCTTGCTTTTTATCTCATTGACGTGCTCAGATGGTATAACACATGGTAAAGCAGATGCGTAGGGGGGCGTTTGCTGCTTTGACCTCTTGGGGCTCCATTTTGATGCTAATGTCTATGGTTTTATGAAGAGGTCTCTGTGGGGGGCCACGGACTGAGAACATACCTCATCGTACGACACCCCCTCCCTCCTGTGCACTCCCGTCCGAATCTGGCACCCAAACGCCTGCGGGCCTGAATAGGCAGGCGGCCATTGGGGCTGCACAATGTTCGGGATGTCCCTTGACGCCCTGTGCCGTAGCTGTGAATGCCTCTATTGAGGGGCCCAAATGCGCTGTGTCCAGGAATCTCACTTAAAGTCACGGGCTGAGCTCTGAAATGGCACAGAAGCTCGTGCTGGCATGCTGGAGCCGCCCGCATGATTATGTGATGCATTGACATGTGCAAAACTCACTTTCTGCCGTTCCACAAGAGCCTGGAAGATACAGAAGTAGGAGGGAGGGAGGCAGGCAATGTGAGCCAGAGCTCTTTGTGTGGGTGAAGAACTGCTTTTGGCTGCTTATCACCTCTAGCTAATGCTGACCGACTCATAGGACTCTCATCTGTAATGGGCCTTGTTTTGGTTTTGAGGGGGAGATTAAGAATCCTTCTTTTCAGAAGCACTAGATCTCATAGGTCATCATGTTTTTTGTATCAACCCGTAGTTGAAAGAGCCTCTGTGTTGTACATCCACGTGAGGTAAAAGCACCGTGAAGATTAATTTGTTGGTGTTTGTGAGTGAAACCCGCCGGCGGTATGTTCAGCTGCTATTATGGTGGATTAGAGCCAGCTAGTGAGTCTAAAATACGAAGCGAATGGAGATTAAACTCAAGTTCTCACAGGCTCAATCAGGGAAGGTGTTTGCACATTGAGATTAATCGCGACATATTCATCCCCACGAGTCGTCCATCCGAGGAAGAGTAATTTTCCACTCAGCTTCCTATAATGATACTGGGGACCTTGTGTTTTACACAAAGGTAAACAAAATTTTCAGTTGAGGATGGAGGCTCAGCATTAACGAATTAGCCTAGTTCATGCATCAATGTCTGTTTTTGATTGTGTTTGTGCTTAGGTTAGGCTCCTCAGACTGATGTTTCTTTATATCCTTCAACAGGACAAAATGCCTCAAACGCCACCCTTTCCAGCGATGTATGGGTCCAATGTCTACAACAAGAATCTCTATAAGGCCAAGGAAGAGGACTATGAAGGCCTGTATTACCATGAAAACAACCTGGTGTCAGGGTCCTTGGAGGCTCTAATTGAGCACTTGGTCCCTACGGTGGCTTACTATCCTGATGTGAGTATATAGAGTGTCAAAAGTAATGCGCGTTAAATATCGCATGCGATTTATCGTGCAGCCCTAATTTTGAGTATTGAAAACATATGCATTGCTCAGTTTGATATCTCACATGTATTTATTTTTTAAACACCGAGACCACAAACGTGACTTGCAATTGGTCTCAACTTATAATTTAGCAATATGCACTTCTGCTCAAAAATTTGGGTTTAAAAGAAATTACTTTTAATCAGCAAGGATTCATTAAATTTATCTAAAGAGACATAAATCCTTTGTATCATTTCAAAGAACTTTATTTAAAGTAAGAGTTGTCCTTTTGAGGTGTAGTCTAGCTAACCAGATTTATTTTCAAGAAATATAAATACATTTTATGTAGCTTTGTCCAATGTTAGTTTTGTTTAGAATAATGTAAAACGGATATTAATGGTTTGTATTGTTGCACCAACATTGATCTCATTTTTATTGACTCACAGAGGACATACATCTTCACATTCCTGCTCAGTTCCCGTCTCTTTATTCACCCGTATGAGCTGATGTCCAAAGTGTGCCATTTGTGTGTGGACCAGCAGAGACTCACTGATCCTCAGGCTGATAAGGTACAAGGGTGTCTTTATACTGATTGTCATACAAAGTGGCTTCAGTCTTCATGGTTGCTCTATTTTGAGAACCAAGGACAATAATTAGCAATTACAGTGTTGTTGTTTTTTTTACTTAATCTGTAGGCAAGAGTCAGGAAAATTGCTCCCAAGATTCTGCAGTTGCTGACTGAGTGGACGGAGACATTTCCCTATGACTTCAGGGATGAGAGGATGATGAAGAGCCTGAAGGAACTAACGCATCGTCTGAGTACTGGAGATGAAGTAAGTCTGCCATTTCCAAGTGCTGGAAGATAATTTCAGCGGAAACAATGAGTTTTTCATTCTTGAGGAAATGTCTGCTAAACGCAACGCCGTTTTTAAATAATAGTCACCTGATAGGTGCGAACACTTGCGTCAAAGACATTAGCGTTTCTTTATGCCTTTAGTACCACTATTAGCATATACCGTGTAAAACAGCTTTATATGTCTTAGCATGGCTTTTTTAACATTCAGCTGGTTAAGATGTAGGATGTAACACGTTGGGTGAGAAGAGTGTCAACACCTGAGCAATGGGGGGTGAGATTTCTTTAGTCCAAAGCGCTCTGACAAGAGGAGTGAGAAGAGAGCTCTTTTGTTCAGCTGCTTTTGTCTTCACTGGTGCTTTTCCACAGGCTGCATTTAAATAGTTCTCTTAGCGCTGACTCGTTTGTTGCCATGTTACTGGCTTAGCATTTTTTTTATCAAAGGGACTTTTTCACCACATTTATTCTAGGTTCTTTTAAAACTTCCTGGGCACAAAAACCAGCAGTGGTTGCGTTAAATGATTTTATTTTATTTTACATCTAGTTATCGTCCTTCCATTGTGCTCACATCCTTTTGACGCCCGTCACTTCATTTTGAATCTGGATAAAGTTGGGAGCTCTCATCAAGTGTTGTCCTCAAACGTCCCTTTTTTTCTCTATCATCCGCATCTGAATAGTCCTCCTGTTGTGAACTCTTGATTTAGTTAATGTACAGTGAAATAAAAAGATTTGCAGAAGCTCGCTCTGGTCATCTCACATGGTTGGCGAGCATTAGTGTAATGACTAACAGCAGGGCACTAGTTAGAATAGACAGTTTAAGATGGACATCGCTCCATCAGATTCAAATGAATGGGGTTTCACTAACTCAAAAAGACAAGCAGGACTCATCCTCTGGTGGCTTGTGTAGTAAACACATGTGTGACAATTGATCTGCTTTATCCCGACCCAGGAGATCGATGACCTTCTGCGGCCCCGCTCAGCTCATAGAGGAAATGTGTGCGTGTTGCACCGCCTCCTCAATCTAGTGAAAGGGGTAATAAGCTAATAAGACTGCATGTACACTCAAAAAAACAACAACATGGAGAACTATAACTGTGTTAGGGTCCGTGACATAGTTGACCTGTGTATTTATTTGAAAAAGAATTCAAATGAATTCATACCTGAATACACCTCTTATATGATGAGAGCAAGTTTTTAATTTCTGAATTAAAATGTATTTTGGTATAAAGTCAATATCAAAATAAGACAATTGTCTGAATGTAATACATAAAATGCACTATGTTTCAAGAAGGGCAATAAGTCTTTTCAAATAACAGATAATTTGACCTTTTAATGATTAGTTAAGGTGGTAAAATGTCATGTGTGACCCAAAACCTAAACCTTAAATTTATTTTTTTGCCTTTAATATTTCTTTTTTTGTTGTTGTTGAAAAAATACTTAAGATTTCTACACTAACATTTTTAGCATCATTAAATTTATTTTATTTTTATTTATTTTTTTAAAGTTTTTTCCCTTATTGTGTACCGTTTTTACATATTGATTTTTTTTAACGGAGTGACCACTTCATGTTTTCTTTATTCAAGGTATCTTTATGATATTTACATTTGCTAGGTAGGCGAGACAAATGTAATCTGTGTTTTGAGTTATGACTGTCTGGTAGATGTGTATCTATGCATGAAAAGACCGTCTCATAGTGTGAAGAATTCATTCATGGTTCATACCATCAATAAGTTGACTGTATTATGTAATTCAGTCGCTGTTTTTCTCCCGCCATCTGAACGGCATGTACTCGTACGTGAATTTTGTTAATGAGAGTGTCTGTTACAGTGTAGCACTTGACTCTACATTGACGTGGTATTCACAGCAGTCAGAGCCACACAATAGACAATGGGTGTATTTATAGCTAGACATAAGCCCATCTGAGTCAAATGTACTGTCCAGTGCTTGCAGCCCATTATAACAAGACCACTATGAAGTGGTTTCCAGTTAGGCCTTTTATTTTTTGACCTCTCCTAGACCTCAGTGGTCCTGACGAGTTTGCCAGCAGTTTGTTGACCTGCTGTTTTCTGTCTTTTTACTGGCAGTTGCGTCGCGGATCTCTTGCTTTCAGTGCAGGAGCTGAGAATAGATGCCGTAACATCTGTCTCCAGACCACAGTTTGGTCCTCAGGCTTCTGGTCGGCAAAGATTGTCATTACGCATGTGGTCTTCTGTATAGGAAAGGCAGGGCCCAGTTGTGCATTTGCAGACAGCCATTTGGTGCACATTTGGACACCTTTTGCACAAATTCTGTTTATTGGGAAAGTAATGGAGAGCATTCACCCTTGACCTGGGTGTGGTGTGTCCATGCTAGAGTGATCTGTACTGTGAGGTTGTGCCATGTTGGACGGCTGTCGCACACTCATGCCAGGGTTCAAAACGTGGAGGCAGCACACGCAAGCAGCTTTCTTTTCTATTTTTCCCACAACAAGTGAGTTGTCTGATCTGCCGCTCAAAATGTCAAGCAGTCATCGCCAAGAACTCCTGCTAAAAATAATGTGTCAGCATATGGTGGACCTTGAAGAGGGAATATTAAGACTCTCTGTGATCTTTTAAAGTGCTGCAAGGGCTTGTCTCCTCCTGTACTCGCTCTCTTGTCAAATCATCAATATTCTTGCATCTACACTATGTTCAGGTTGTTCTGAGCCAGATAGATTTATGCGCCACCGACCTCCTGCACAACAGATTAATGGGCCACTTTTTATTTTCTACGAGTCAGAAAGGAGTACAGAAGCCTGACAGAAATGAAAGATCCCACAACCAATCAGCATAATGTTTGAACAGCCAACTTATCATATCTTCATGGTTAAACAAAAGCCTTAAGGCCCGTTTGCACCACGAACGATAGCTATATTGATAACTATATTAGAGTCCACACAAATGGACAATAACATTTTGTTCAATATAAGAGCTGTAGTTTTGTTGTCTGACGCTTTAAATGCTTAAACTGTTCAGTTGAGTGGATTCTGATTGGCTTTCAGGTAATTGTTCCTCGCTGTAGCCCTGAAAAAAGAAAATTTTTATCAAATGCGTTTATTTCATCCTCCTTTAAGTAACCAGTTTAGGTAAGGCTTTTTAAGTATACCGTTTTAAATTCATGGTGTGGGGTAGTCTTCTTGATGTCCATTGGTTGACCTCCTGCACAACAGATTAATGGGCCACTTTTTATTTTCTACGAGTCAGAAAGGAGTACAGAAGCCTGACAGAAATGAAAGATCCCACAACCAATCAGCATAATGTTTGAACAGCCAACTTATCATATCTTCATGGTTAAACAAAAGCCTTAAGGCCCGTTTGCACCACGAACGATAGCTATATTGATAACTATATTAGAGTCCACACAAATGGACAATAACATTTTGTTCAATATAAGAGCTGCAGTTTTGTTGTCTGACGCTTTAAATGCTTAAACTGTTCAGTTGAGTGGATTCTGATTGGCTTTCAGGTAATTGTTCCTCGCTGTAGCCCTGAAAAAAGTAAATTTTTATCAAATGCGTTTATTTCATCCTCCTTTAAGTAACCAGTTTAGGTAAGGCTTTTTAAGTAGTCCGTTTTAAATTCATGGTGTGGGGTAGTCTTCTTGATGTCCATTGGTTGTCAAGGCAGAGGATGTAGATTCTTGTCCGACTGATGTTGAGCAACAGGGCATGACTGCTGCTGTCCTCTCCTTACGCAACAGAAGACCAGATCTGTGTCAGGCTCTTGTTATTAGATAACTCAAACCCATCTTGTGTTACGAGGGGAAGTGAGCGGCATTCAGGATTCTTGTGAACCTTTGAAGGACATGAATGAAGTGCTGCTGTTTTGTAATCCTGCGTTAACCGGTTATGTAACATACTCAAGACCCTATGTTGGAACGTTAGACCCCGTGAGCAGCACCACCGTCATAGCTGACCAATCAAGAGGAAAGGGCGCCATTATACGCCCAGAAGTCCATTAGATGTTTGCAGGGCAAATACGTTGTGCATTCCCTCAGCTTTCTTATCAGTGTGGGACACATTATGTTGTCAGTCTTTCAAATTAATGATTACCTTGTCATTCTGGTCAATAAAAGCATGGTTGCAAATCCACGTCTTCTGTCTCCCCGTCTCTCTTCAGCTCTATCGCAAGGCAGTGCAACAGATGACACAAACGCTGATCCGTAAGCTCACCACACTGAGTCAGTACGAAGAGGCTTTGGCCAAGATTAACTCCTCTGTGACTGACAGACTAACTGTGCTGAAGACCAAACCTCAGTCCATCCAGAGAGACATTCTGACCATCTGCAGCGACCCCTTCACCCTGGCACAGCAACTCACACACATTGAACTGGTGAGTGGAACTTCCTCGGTTTACATGACCTTACATTCCTCACCTCACTGTGGGTTTGGATTGCTTTATTTACTAAATCAATAATCTGTGCAGTTATTTTCAAGGTGACCGTTTGGACTTACTGCAAAGGTTAAGTTGACATCATCATCTTCATTTTCAGGAAAGACTGAGCTACATCGGACCAGAGGAGTTCGTCCAGGCGTTTGTTCAGAAAGACCCTCTTGATAACGACAAGGTAACAGTCCCTTCCTGTTTATGGTCAGCAAGGTCAACTTAAAATATATACAATGCTAATGTCATGTCTTGCGCTTACTACAACAAATATCTGACTCCAACAAATCAATACGCACGATGTTTACGTTAACCCTCGGGTTCAATGTGGTGTCACCTATTTCACACAGCATTCACAGCACATTCCTCGTCTAATCTATCACCGTCCAAGTTTCCCTCCTCCAGTTCCACACAGCGTCCTTTTGTGGCCAAAGCCTAGCAACTGGTTTCTCACAATAACCTGCCAAAAGTTTACTCAGCCCTGCCTCGTAATGCCCATTGCCGTTGGGCTGCTAGGCAACAGCCCGTGTCAAGGCGGTACTAGTGCGATTTTTCTCTTTTGTTCTGGTCGCCGTCTCTCCAGAGGGTCCTTGTGCACCGCCGTGGCTCTCTGATGTTGTCCTTCAAAAGTAGAGTAGGGTGGATTGGGTATTGTGTGACGGACAGCACAGTCAGACCATAGGAATTTAAGGAATGAAGGGTTAGAGTGGCCCGAGCTTTCAGACAAAGTGTCTGTATACATTCCCTAAACAGATAATAACACAAGGCCCAGTGAGCGTGGAGGCTCTGCAGGGCAAATAAGCTCTCTGATTGAATGTGCTTTGTTGGAGATCATCAGTCATCTCGGAGACCTTTGTTCTTGGGCTGGGACTGTAGGAATCACAGATCCCAGCATGCAAAGTTCTGTGAGATCACTTAAAGAGCTATATTCTACCGATGATGAACTGTTTACATTCCTGCCAAACGTTTTAGAGCTCAGAATTTAGGGTGAAAAAGAGATGCACCAATGCTAAAATTCTGGCTGATAGAGACAAGTTAAAATAGCTGATATTTGGAATCTATGCTAGTTTGATGATGATAATAAAAATAAAATAAAATTGACCTATACCGATAAATAAAAAATGCCGACATTGGCAGATAACCAGTATGGTACAGATAAAATGCGCATCCCTAATAAAGACAATTTGAAAACTAAACTGGAAAACGTTGTGGCACAATGTCCTAAATGAAGCTCTTGACCAAACTCAAGCCTCATTGTAATTGAATGATGATACTGACCCTTTTGAAATTGTGATTCTTGCAGAGATGCTTTAGTGATCACAAAAAAGCAAGTAACCTGGAGGCTTATGTGGAGTGGTTCAACAGGCTCAGCTACCTGGTGGCGACGGAGATCTGCATGGTAATCGTCTGCTTTTATTGCTAATGATTTTACTATTGCTAATGATACTGTTAGTGATTTTTAATGTGATTTTAAATATAAGCCTCATAAAAATATACACCACCTTTCAAAAAAGTAAGTAGGTTCCTGAGGTCATGCTGTTCTTTGTTCATCAAATTGGTGAAAATATTTGACAGTTTTCTCTATTTATTCCTTTTTTTTTTTTTGACCCAATAAATGCAGTCTTTGTGATCATGAGATTTTTAAAAATCTAACTGACCCCAAACTTTTGAATGGTGGTGTAGGTAACATTAGATTTTATATCATGAAAGTTCCTGAAGTATTAAGTATTTAATGAGCATTGTTATAAATATCACTTTTTGGTGTTCATAAAATATTTGCTTGATATTCTCATGCAGCCTGTAAAGAAGAAACATCGGGCTCGAGTCATTGAGTTCTTCATCGACGTTGCACGAGAATGCTTCAACATTGGCAACTTCAACTCGCTCATGGCCATCATTAGTGAGTGTTTTGCCGTCCCTTGCAAGACTTTGCTACAGAAAGCTCTTTTGTTCCCCACAAATCAGTTTGGATAATACAGTTTGCTTTTTTGGCAGGATTTGGTTTGCTTTTCTAATCCCTGCTCTTGTACGCTTAACACGCACAACAATGTCAAACCTCTTACAGACTCGTATTATTTTATTTGCTGAGTGCTTCGGAGAGTCTTATTTAGCTATGCGTCAAGGTTTAGATAATTCATTTTAGCCTTTAGTTGATAAAATTTTAACTAATCTGTGTCATCCTTTGTTCAATAATCTATAATAATAAACAATTTTGTGTTTATGTTAGACTTCTGATAATATATAGTACATTTTAGCTTCAATAATATAATAAAATAATGATTAGCTACATTAATCATTCACTCAGTTCTCCAAGCACCCACCTAGGCCTGTGCCTGAGGCATTATGGGTAGGGAAACAGGAGTGGAGAGACCAGGAGAAGAAGCAGCTGTTCAGCCTGTGTGAGCGAGAGCTGGATCGAGGGAGCGGCATCCCTCAGGCAGATGGTCAGTGCTGACCAATCCAATAGACTGAGCGAGGGACAGACTCATTGAGAGGGGGATTGTGAGAGGGAGGGAGTGGAACCAGCTGTCCTTTCCCTGGCCATTCCCTGGAGACGAGCCCACGGGCCGGGGCTCTTACACAAGCCTCTCTCCCTGGAGATGGAGCGCTGATATTAAAGTCACTGAAAGAGAACAAACAAGTCATGGGAAAGGTTGATCGCTCCTGCTTGTGTGTTTTGGAGGCAGCGTACATTGTGTGACATGAACGGAGCGTCAGCAGCACGTGGCTAGACCTGAAAGATCATTCGCTCTAGTATCATGTTAGTGTGCCGGAGGAGCTCTGGACCTGACACCTGTTAGTATAGACAGATTGTTATCCGATGTATATTTGACATTTGAGTCTTAATACTATAGAAAAGCATTAAAGGTGTTTTCAGCTTGTTTATTTTCATATAAACATACGGTATGCAGTTGCATCAAACAATGGTATAAACATCATTCAATGTAAATTGTGATAATTGCAATTAATAAACGCAATTACAATTTCAAGGGAATAATCGACAATTATGATTTTTGTCATAATCGTGCAGCCTTAAAGTGAACTGAACCTTTGTGGTTGTCTCACCTGCTGGCAAAAAGTTGACTGAAGATTGAAAGTGCATGACATGGATCATCTTACTTGGTTCCCATTAAAGAATGTCCCATAATGAATAGTAACTAGAGTGACTCATGTTGGCTTTGGAGACCTAACCATGTTTAATGGGCTTCGAGCTCGTTAGAAACTTTTGTTTGTAGAAACTACATTACATTTTTCAGGCCAAGTCCTGAGGTTGGTGCCTAAACCTGTTTTTGTCTCTATTCGCAGCACCAGATGGATCCCTCTAGCAATTTCTACAACTACAGAACAGCGCTGCGTGGAGCCACTCAGAGATCTATCACTGCTCATAGCAGCAGAGAGAAGGTAATGCGCAGAATTTTCTCACAGAAATCATAGAAACGTTGGTTTCATAACAGTGTTTGGGTTCGGGCGGCATGTACTTATAAAAAGGTTGTTTGAAGTGTGTGATATGTTGTATCGATATTAGCAACAAACGCAGCGAGGACAATGATAAAATCAGATTCATTACATAAAAGATGCCAGTGATTGGCTTAAAAGTGCAGATCCCAGTCCAGAAGCTTTGTATTTACACTAAATTGAGGTAGCGTCTGGCCTCTTTGGCCGAGAGTTATGTAATAACAAGGGTAGAGGACAGTAGGCCATTTGAGGATGATTTGCTGAGGGCAAGGCATCAAATGGGACATTCTGTTTCCTCTGCTAAATATGCTCCATTCTAGTTATAAAAACATGGCATTCAGCCAGTTAACAAAATGTTCTGATGCTCTTCAGTGTTTTCTGTGAGCAAACTCAATAAAATCCATCCGGCATCTGAGTGTGCCAAAAGGAAGCTCAACACTGTTAATCTCTTCGTTAAAATGCACAACTATTTTGAGTGTTCTCATATATTTATATATATATTGGATATGTTGTTTGTTTTTGTCAAGCTTGGTAAGGATTGTTTTGCGTCTTCGACTGGTTAGGGAGGAGATCTTCGCTGTGTGGGTTTGGGTGGTGAGACAGAATGTTCCAGAGCAGTACTGGAATGCTTGGCTCTTCCGTGAGGGGGGCGTGTTTTTTTTTTTGCATCACAGTGGCCCATGTCACTTGTTTTTCTCTAAAATCAGATGTGTTTAGGCTTTGGCAAGCATTGTTACTTTAAAGATATAAGAGACAAAATAAGTGCATGTTCCAGGACAGGAATTTCCACTGTAAACTTAATTAAATCAGGAATGCATTACTGCTCTCTTAATGTCTTTAACTCATCAACTGGTTTGACTGCTCGTATTTTTGACCCTTTGTTTTGTTCACCGATGGATATTGTGCTTATTTTAATCTTGATTTGAACTTGAGGTTAACTATTCACATGGGACTGTACTCTAATTATGGCAGTAGATTTATTTTGGCTTATTTATTTGTCTATTTATTTATTTCTCAGTTTTGGAGTGATGCTTAGGCTTAAAATGACTTATAATGTAAAACAAAAATAAATAAATGTTAAAAAAAACGAAGAGATTTTCAGGTTGTTGATGGCATGGAATGATTTAATTTATTAATATTGTAAAATAAATTAAATCTATTAAATAAACATTGTATATATTTACATTTTCTATTTTTTAGAATCATGTTAATAGCAAATTATTTATTTTTGAATACAGGAGAGTGACCCCTATATTTAAAGACACCTTTGTTTATCATGTTGTACCTGAATTTGCTACAACGGAGTTTAGATTTTGGCGTCACGTACACATCACTGCTTCCTTGTGTCATGAATCATTGTTATTGCCCTCCAAAGTGGTAGATCCAGTTGTGCTGTGCCCTGTAGGCTTCTAGAAGCTGTTGTAAAAACTGTTGCCTAGTGCAATCTTACTGTGACGATAACCCTTAGATGGACTCCAATGAGACTGCTCCATTTGGTTGCATGTTTTTTTTTCTTAGTTTTTGGTCAGTTATAGCTGTTATGTAATCTTGTATTCCCTTTTTGCCTTTCAGATTGTTATCCCTTTCTTCAGCCTCTTGATTAAAGACATCTACTTCCTCAATGAAGGATGTGCCAACAGGCTCCCGAACGGACATGTCAATTTGGAGGTAATTCCTTCCCTTTGGCTTGGCGCGATACATGCAAGCTAACATGATGCATGGCAACAACTGCCGTCACAGCTACTGAATAACAAAGGATGGTTGAGAAACCACTGTCACGTAGCAACGGAAGCATCCAGATTTAGTCCATTGACGTATGCATCTGTTGAAATGAAGTTTCAAGGGCATCAATTCAGTGGCAATGATTTGTAACAGAATGAATCTTGACTGTGCTGCAGAAATTCTGGGAGCTGGCCAAACAAGTGATGGAGTTCATGACATGGAAGAAGGTGGAGTGTCCTTTTGACAGAGACCGCAAGATTCTGCAGTATCTCCTGACCGCACCGGTCTTCAGTGAAGATGGTACAGATGTTTTTTAATGCTAGTTTATGATTAATTGCAATCAAGTTAAGGAACATTTTTTTGCAGTGGCGAACATCAATCATAAGCCCCTTCATTTCAACTTCTGAAATGCAAACATTGAGGCCAGACAGTGGTTTTGCTAATTAAACATCATTTATGCATTCTGTCTTGCTTTTTTACTGTCAATTTGGACTTCCTGTCTGAGCTAGAGCTCTTCTGCACACTCATTTTCTGCCACTCGTGTCATAAACCTGTTCTAATGATAGTTGCGCAGTGAGCAAACAAGATACCAGACACAAAGACAATTGCGCTTGTCATGATTGCCTCGGGTGTGAAATGCCGTCACGCTAAATAACCAAGTGACACAGGTTCAGAACATTCCTCAAGAAAGAAAACAGGTGGCTTTGTTTTTGTTGCTGACACACTCGTCTCATCTCAATCATCTCTCAACAGCTTTGTATCTGGCATCATATGAGAGTGAAGGACCAGAGAACAACATGGAGAAAGACAGATGGAAATCTCTCAGGTGTGTATGATACGATTAATTCAGATGCTGAGATTATTCCTGACCTGTCTGAAGAGTAGTGACTTGCTAAAAGAAATCGTCTGTTTGCCAAATGAACAGATTTATTAAACAAAGGTTCCCACTGTCAGGCAGAAATCAGGGAATTTCAATTGTGTTGTCCAGGCCTTGAAAAATACTCATTAATAATGAATAAAATATTTAAAAAATCATTCTATAATGAATGTACCTTCTTCTAGTAATGCTGTTCTTCTCGATGTTAAATAGTACTACTTTAGAGTACAATATGCTCACAATCCATAGTAATATATGATCTGTAAGCGAATCCTTCTTTTAAATGTTATTTTCAGTGAGACACTTCACAAAGTCGATCAGAATTTGAATGATTTAAAAAAATTATTATTCACTAATAACAATCGCTAATCGTGCAAATTCATTAGTCAATAACTACAAACCTTGATTTAAGCACATTATTTGAATTACATATTTGAAAAATAATTTTCTATTCGTTTTTGCACATAGTTTGCCTTGTCTCACTAGAACAATACATGCAATCTAAATTACTGAAATAATTAAATTGTGTAGACTTCATGTTTTACAGTATTTTTTTTTT